TCTTCCGTAGTCTGGCTGCAGTTGTTTTCCTTTGTCCCTTTCCTGGTGTTTGGTGAAGGCTGGTGAGTGCCTGGATTATTTTCTTAAGGATGGCAGTGTATGAGATACAGCAGGAGAGAGAGAGAATAAAGTTGATGAACTTGGGAAGTAAATCTTCGTTCCTTAACTTGCAATTTTCAATCAGTATAGTTTTAGGTAAAGCAGCTTTCTGCTGAGTGGTCCTTAGCAGCCTGACAATAAATGACTTGAGAAGTTGCTGTTGGATTCAAATAAAGTCCTGTAGGAAAATAACCTCCAGGCTGAGTCCCAAACTCTGTCATGTTTGCCTGCCTAGTAATTTCACAGCTGTGGAAAAGGCAGGTCCAACATTTTCACACTATTTTTTAAATGGAGAAATGTAGTAAATAATTACAGAGGAACTTTATAAATATAATATATTTTTCCTTTTCATCTCTACCCATAAATTCGCATCCCATGAGAAATTATGATGGCTTTACAGTTGTGAAGGAAGCTTTAGCCATTAATTCAGAAGAGAAGGACCAGTCTCCCAACTTCCACAACTTTGAATCTTCTGCTTTCATCCCTTCTCCTTCACTCACAGGAAAGATGTAAATAATAATGTGAATAATAATTATTCATTGCAGTGAGAAGCGTCCCAGAATTTGCTGCATTTGCATAAAAGGACATAATTCCCTGAAAACATACAATGTTCTTTTTGAGTACACTCAAATAAATACTTGACATTATTCACCATAGAATAGTGGGCCAGCAGCAATTACCACTGGAAGTAAGAATTAATTAATGAATGTGTTGAATGGAGGTCTGTCAGGACTATGGGAGCATCAGGAACAAACTGTAGCCAACTGACAGCAACATCCTGATAGGCACTGGATGAGATGGAAGGAAAAATGAAAGAGACTCATAATTCAGGGAGTAAAAGTTGTGAATCTCAGTGGACACAGCAAACTCAGAGAGGAGCCCCTGTAGGGTAACAGAGAATCACATTAAAATGCCACAGGCAAAATTACTGTGCAGAAAATTGGGAATGTGTTTTTGCTCCCAGCTGACTGTGAACAATGGAATGTATACAGATGTTACTGCACTATTCAAAAGGTATTCAACACCCAGTTAGAGCCCCAGAGCTCAGAGGGGTTTGCCCAGTTCCCATCTGTGTGCTGGACAGAGCTGCTGCTGAGCCCAGCATCCCCTGCAGGGTCTGGAGGGAGAGCCACAGCAATTAACCACAGCCACCATTCAGAGAGACTGAAATCAGCTGAAAGATGGAAAAAGTAATAATGCAGAATATCAGCTGCAGGATGCTCAGCAGTCAGATTTGTTCAGAGGAAAGAAGTGGAGAAATCTGAGCAGGATCACAGCAGGACAACTCCAGACAGCTCCAGACTCCTGAGAAGTTGTGGCTCCTCTGGCAAGTGTTGCCTGTCTTACACATTTCACAGCAGAAAACAGGAACAAAAAGATAACCACACATTAAGATCTATGTTTAAAGAGAAATGAACAATAACAGAGATGTGGAATAACCAGCTTTGTTTGCTTTTTTGCTTATTTCAGAAAACCAAGAGGAAGAAAGGATAGAGCAAAATATGTAGAAATAACTTATGTCTGACTTTGAAATTCCCTCTTCAACTCTGGGGCAGAAGATGCGTTACAAGAACCTCAATTCAGCAGCAGTTTTCACCTTCAAAGAGCATTAAAATTACTTGGTGACTTTTACTTTTCTGTAGTCGTGAGAAAGGCTGTGGAATATGACAGTGCTCCTCTTCAGAACTCTGAGTGGCAAGAATTAAAAGCCTGAGTTAAAAGTATTCCATATTAGAAAAGCCAGCCTATTCAAGCTTTACAAATTTTTATGCTCATGTCTCCAGTTATAAAGAACTCTTTCTGTTTTTAACATACTCCACCCACCCCTTTAAAATGAGAGCAAAGATGCCCTGGTAGTGGCATCATTCTAGTAAAAATAAGGATAAAATACAGTCAGGGGTGTCAATAATAATCCTGTAACGTGCAGTCACTTTGAGAGCTGTCTCTGAGCTCTCTCCACAACCCCTGGAGCAGAATGGATGGGGCTGAGACACATCTGGGATCACTCTGCATCCCACAGCCCATGTGCCTGACTGTGTCTGACACTTTAGGGGGCAGATTTGTTGGTGCTGCTCAGCTCAGTCTCGTTTCTAAGTGTGGCTTTATGAGCTGAGGCCAGACTGTGCAGAGGTGCAGGGCTGAGGAAGTGCAGTTACATCAGCTGCTGTGCAAGTCAGTGTCCTTTTGTTAAGGCCATGTGAGGATTTTTGGACAGTGTCATTCCTCCCTGACACCCAGTTCTTTTGGGTGGATTCAGAAAGATCTGTTTAATGGGCAGCACAACAGCTGAGACCTTCCACAGTTCCCCAAACTTCAGTACTTTGCACAGCTTCCCATTAAAGAACATCTCCTTCACTTCACCTGCACTGTGCCTGCTAAAGGCTGGATCCCAAGCATCAAACTGGGTCAAAGTATCGGTTCTTCCAGAATGTTTCTTTTTCAATTTAAAGACCTTTCTCTCCATGTGGAGCTTCACTATTCAAGGAAAATTCATCATAAAAATAGCTTATCTTTAACTCAGCATAAGCCAAACAAGCTGTGCCATTGCAATAGGGCAGGGCACAATCCTAAAATCTCTCAGCATTTTGGGCTTTGTGTGCTTTACAGCAAAACAGAACATGGTTAGTATCAGTATCTGTGAAATCACTTTGTTAAATATACTGCAGGCCCCAACCTTGTTTTACCCAAGCATTTTCTTGATTCACTGCCACTAAATTTAGATTATATTCTCCTCAGAGGCTGGTCTCTACAAGACATTGGGTATTTACTTTTTTCTCTGTCTACTACAATCTACTACAATCTTCCTAGTAGCACATTTATTCCACAGATCTTCCCACTCATTAAATGAGTTCTAAACTTAGCACAGGCTCTCCCAGCTTTAATGGAAACCATTTGTGAGGCTTCCAAATGACTCACTGAAAGCATGAGCTGTGCAGGGGTGTTCTCTGATAAACACATAAATAAAAACAACTCAGAGCAACTGCTTCTGAGCATAAGAACAACCCCAGCTGAGCTATTTCAGTGGTGTTAGGGTTGGAAGGAAAGGCAGCCAGCAAAGGGGGTCAAGTACAGGCTGCTTCTCTAAAGCAGAGATTGCTACTAAAGAAAAAAAGTTAAAATAAACCAGATTTTTTTTTACAACTTGCTGAAAAATTGAATGTATCTGCCTTGCAAATGTGCAGCCAGTCTCACAAAACCCAAGGGCCAGAAGAAGATGCAGAAGGAAAAGAGCAGCCAAGCCTGGTGCCAACATTTTGAATGCAAACCAGTTGCATCATCCACTACCTGCTGTGCTCCTCGGCTTGGTGGTATAAGGATGGCTTTATTGACATTGGGGAATTTCTGACTGAAATTCAGAATATTTAAGTTTTGTTGCTATTTCTTGCTATCTCTCTGTTTTTTTAAAGTAATTTGGATTCATGGCATGTTTTCTTTTGCTTTGGAGGGGGTTGGCTTGTCTTTTGTTTTGGTTTTTACAGTCTGAAAAGGAGACCAGAAGCTTCCTTTTCTTTTGGAAGAGTTTTTGTTACTACATTTCTTAAGAAATTCAGTAGTTTTAAAATAAAATCTTCTCAGCCTCAGGATGACTCCTGAACAAATATATTTGACTTTCAAAATCTTCCTGAGTAGAAGCTGTACACTATGGAGAAGAAATTCTCATTACTTAGTTTAGAAATGAATACATTCCCCTTTTCCCAAACCTTGAAAAAAGCTGGGACCAAATCTTGGGCTAACAATAAAACCTGTTAAGAATAACCACGGGCTATGGATGATTTTTCTTCTAAAAAATATTTATTAAAAAATCTGTAATAGTTGTAATACTGATTGCCTTGAGAGGCTCCACTTTGCAATGCAGAAGGTGCAGCAGATCTGCTGATACCTGAGGTGGAAGCAGAATGAATCCTAATGAATTTTAGCAGCTACATATGGAAGAGGAGAGGATAAAGTATATACCAGTGTTTTAATTGTTGAAATTAATGAATGACAACTTTTATTCAAACTTGTATCAGCATAGTAACTTCTAATACCATTGTACACAAGTAGCCAGAGCATTTCACTGCCTTCCTTTTGAAAATCTAAAAATAAACCAGCAAACAGCACTGTGCATTAACAGCACACCCTGGGAACACGGGTGCAAAGTTCTGGATGGGGACACAGACAGCGCAAGGTCATTCCTGAGCAAGGAGGAGCTGCTGTGTGCCAGGGCTCTGAGGCCACCACAGGCACTGCCCAGCTCCCAGGGCCTGTCCCACCCTGCCCAGGACCCCATTTCAGCCTCCCCAGGGATGTCATCCCCTGGGATGCCACAGGGCACTGCTCCTGACCCTGGCTGCCACCCTGGGCTCTTCCCCTGCTCAGGGATGTGCCTGGTGCTGCCCCAGGCTGGGGCGCTGGGATGAGCCAGCCCTGCTGACAGAATTAGTGTTCCTTTATTAGCCCCTAGATGCCATAAAAACCCTACACTCTGTCAGTTTGCTGATAATCAGGTGGCAATTAGATCACAGAAGCAGAGAAGAAATACAGTGGGCATTTTTGGGTTCATGACTCCAGTTGTGAATCCCAGTCCTGAATTTGATGTTGATTTTTGAGGGTAAAAGCTTCTCTAAATGTGAAGTGGGGAGGGAATATAAGAAAATATTTAGTGTGATTATTTTCCCAGCAGTAACTCCTAAATGTCAGTAACCACTGTACTGCCTGAACCGTGCCCCGATGCTTTGGAGCACTGTCAAAGGAAAAAAAAAAACACACCAAGTTGCTTTCAATTACCATTAATGACACTTAAATATGAGTGTAACGGGGAGCAGAAGATAAACATGGGGTAAGTGGCCTGTGGAAGCAGTTTCTGAAAGGTTTGCTCCAGGCTAGGAGGGGAGGAAAAGCAATTGCCCTGTCACACTCACCTCGTTCTCTGCACTGCTGTTCTCGTTGCCCATCTCAACTCTGATGTCCAGGATCACACAGCAATTAAAAAAAGATCACTAGAAGAAAAGAAAAAGATCTTAATGCGCTGTAAAAAAACCAAAATAAAATAAAACCTGGAAAATTTGAAGGGCTGTCCTCTCAGCCACCCAGCCAGCTGACCCTCCTGACATTCAGCCTTACAATGGTTCTAAGTCATAAATTGGGGGGAAAAGAACCCTTAATGCTTTTATTTCCTCATGTCTCTCTGCTGTCTTCAGTCCTTGAAACTCAGCTTTGTTACTCTGGATTATCCCACGACATTTGAACATGCCAAACCAAAACATTTTCCTTTAACTTTGCATGGACAGCCCATAGGAAAACCTTACTGTTTTAACTGTATTTAAACAATTTGTATTAATTGAAATTCCTGGACCAAGTTGCCTGCTCACATTGTCAGAACCATGGTGTTAAACCTGAATATCACCGTAACAAACAATTTTCAATCAAAGCACCCAGAGAAAGAGTAAATGGATTTTTTTTATCCTGATCACTGGCATTGTTCCCTGCTTTTCTTAGGCATTATTTTGTTACAATGTTGTGTTCTAAACACCTTCTTTAAACTCAGGAGGATCTGCCTACCATAATTACTATTGGTTTTATACTAGTTCAGCTCTAATTATTTAATTTCAATAAAATCTCTGAGCAATTCTAGAGTTAAGTGTCTCCCCGGGCATCGTTGATTTCTATATTTTATTTTTTTTTTTAAAAGGATACTCTATAGTAAAAGTCCACACCAGAGATTCACTTATAGTCATTCTTGTGCTAGAGATTTTATTTTGGCTTGTTCTAGACATTTTATCTGGGGGCTTATGCATTGAAATTCATTGTATTCATTGTATTACTGAAAAAAAAATAGGTGAAAATGACACATTATTACAGTCTCTTCAGTTGTTTGTTTGGTTTTTTTTTTCCCCACAGATTTTGGGATTGCTCTGCAGTGTGTGTCAAGAAAAACTCCATCAAAGTTAGCCTGTAAAAAGGAGATTGCATTTTGAACGCCAAGGAAACCATACAAGCTTTTAAGGAATGTTGTTATTATTACTACAGTACATTTTTTTAAAACTTGAAATATTATTTTTCTTCACAGGAGGCTTGGGGAGAGAGAAGTTTGGTGCTGTGCTCTTAAGCTCTGCTCTGTTTAAACTTGATTGTCTTCAGGGGATACAGCAGTGCTTGAACTTGCTCCTGTTGGAATCACTGGGGCCAGGATTGCACTTTCAGTGATTAATTAGCAACGTGAGGTTTTATCTGCTGAGATTGCTGCCAAATCCTCTCCTGTTTTAAACAGTTTTAAAACTGTTTTAAAACAGTTCTTAGCTGTGCTGAAGACTGGAGGTAACATTTTCAAAATCACTGTTCCCCAAGTATGAAGTACTCCGTCATGGAGTAATGGACACACACAAATCTTCCAGCCCAGTGAAATGTTCCAAGACAACACATTAAGATTGTAATATTTTAAGTATGTATTGATATAATAAAACATTCTCACACTGTTAGAGCTGCTGACTAAGCTTCAAATGCACAGGAGGGAAAGAATAACTCCACTATAAAGATGTGTTTCCCTCAACACCCAGAACAATTCTTTAAGAGTGAATATTGTGGCATTTGTTCCCCTGAACTGCCAAGATTTTCTCTTCCCAGATCTTTTTCTGTCCTTACAGACATCATGTGGAAATATCTGTAAATTGTTCCCTCACAAGCACTTGAAGTAATAACATAAACTGGGGGATGGATGGAACTCTCACAAATCCTCATGGAGTTGTTTAGTTAATTGCAGTGGGGTCTTGTATAACAATTGTGCAAAATGCAGATTTTGCTCATCAAGTTCTCCAATAGATTAGCCAATGTATGTCATAATGATGTCCTATTTGTTTTAGAGTAAATTCACTTCAGTGCATAATATACTGTCAATATTTCTGCACCAGCTCAGCCATACTGACTGTTAAGGCTGCAACTGCTAATAGAGGCCAAAGTTCTAATATTGAGTTGAAAGATAACAATACATTTTTTACAGTTTTTAAATTAAAATGCACAGGAATCAAAGTAGAAAATGACAAGAGCACAGCAGAAGTGCCAGCTGTCAAAAATGTCCACTAACACATCCTATCGTATTGTCTACCCACTCTTTTCTTTCCCTAGAGCATGAAATTTCACAATTTTCACATAATTCTCACATCACCATCTGCTTAATAATGAAGATAAATGTAATAAATAGGAAATAAAGACATTACAGGTTCTCCAATAATGAAATGAGCGATAATAATATTAAAGTGTGAATTACATTGCAGTGCTAAGATAATTTTTTAGATTACAGTGTTACTGTAATCCTTTTTACATACATTATTTCTAAATCATTCAATGCACAAGCATTACTTAGGTTGTAAACTAAAAGTGCTTTATCATATGCATAGACTTTCAAATAAACATTACAAACATGCTAAAAATCCATCCATTAAATAAACATAGCTTCACCAAAAGATAATATTCATCATCTTTCTAGAGTATCTTTCACAATTTACATGTCATTATTGAAATTATTTGAACATCACATATCCCAGAAACAGCTCGGTGGTACCAAATTGGTCTGTTCAGCCTGCAGAGACTTTTGAGCTGAACAGCTGAAAAGTCATTATCTGAATAACTGCTCCACTGAAAGCAAACAAGAGGATGTTTAATGTTGCACTTACATTCCAAGATTTATCTGGCACCTTTGGCTTCACTGACACTTCACTGGTGTCTTCAAACCATTCCTTCCATCTTCACCACACCAGTTTTCACCTGATTTTCCTCCTACTTCTCCTCAGACTCATGAAATGTAGGCTTTCTCTCCGGGACCCACCTTCATAACCTGCTCAACAACCAACTTGCCTCCACCCCAGGCAAGAAAAAAAACAAGTTCCACCTCCTCAGCCGGCCTCCCCCTGCTCCTGCCAGGCTGCTGAGGCTCTCTGCCTGCCAGAAATTCAGTTTTTCACAAAAGCAACCCCAGAGAACATCAATTTTGGGTCAAACATATTTCACTTCTACCGTTTCTTGGCATGTGGTATGAGCAGTGCTTCTTGAAAAAAATGGTTCAGGGAAACTGTGTCAATAACACACTGGAGTTATGCATGTGTTGTTTTCAAGGGAAAATTAGTATTGGGGGAACATCTATTCTGCATTTTTTGTCCAGGTTTGTTTATGTGTTTAAGCTCATCTTTCATTTTCTCATATTACCCTTGAAAGCTGTCAGAAATACCTGCTAGGAAATGTTGATGTGCCTGTTCAGGTTATGGTGAAATCATTTCCCATTTAATCATCCTGAAGGGTGGAGACATGACAAAAACCCTTTGAAATGTGATGTTGCAAGAAGTACTGGTTTATGGGCGAGCTAATTGTTATTATTAACTCTGATTGTCCATTCCAGCAATGCTTCCACAAAGGGGTGCTCAGAAACAGAGCTGGTAACCAAAGACAAGAGTATTTCTCATTAGTGGCAACTCCAAGGGATTATTGAGTTTCTGTAAACACCTGTGGTGCTTTTTGGGGCCACAAACCAAAGGAATGGTCCACTGTGGGTTTGTTGCACCTCGAAGAGTGTGAGGCAGCATTGCTGAATCCAGCATGGAGAAGTCATACCTGGCATGGCTAAAAGGCAGGATTTCCTAGGGCAGCCATATGTTGTCTGCTGATTTTTGTTCCACAGAGCCATGGTCTATAAACTCCTGACTTGGAAACAGAAAGGCTGTGATGGGCTGGAATGCACAGTTGCAAGATCAAGGGCTACATGGACAGTCCTGCCTTTAAATCTTTATTTTTTTATGAAGTTGGTGATCCAGCATTCTCTGGTCTCCCCAGCCTGGATCAGAATCCAGTAAATCTGAAGTTCATTAATTCAAAATTTTAGTGTGTTCTTCCTTAAAACCAAAGTAGGGGGCATTGCACAATTGATTGTCTTATAGACAACAAATTATGCAATTTTTTTTTTTTTGTTTAGGCTCTCTGCCATGAATTTAAGAGCAGGGATCCTGTGGGAGCTCAGGAAAACACAAGCCTGGTAATACATCCTCACTTCTGCTAGCTGCATTATTTCCTCATCAAACCAAACTGAACTCACATTTGGGGCTATTCCATTTCTAAGCTAAGGCCAGAAAACGCCACAAAGTGAAAGTGAAGAAGCTGCCTTGCAAAACAATTGCTTGGCAGAAACTTTGGGGAAAACCAAATCTGTAATCTGTAGCTGATGATTTCTGACTGTGAATTTTTATCAACATAGATGCAAAGCAGAATCCCTCTGTTTGGGTAAGTTGTGTAAGTTTGCAAAGCCACGCAGGCAACTCCTGCACTGGTGCCAGAAGTGTGAGCCCTGGGGAATGAGGGCAGTGCCACCAACACAGCCACCCTGTGCTCTGATCTGTGAGCCTGCAAGGGCCCTGACTGACCACTGGCACTATAGCTTTGGGCAGTTTTCTGACCCACTCTTATGTCTAAATTAGGATTTACTCATTCATTTCTATCCCAGCTACCCCAAGCAGCCCTTCTTCACTGCAAGCTCTTCCCACCTTTGCAGAGGCTGATCTTCTGCTCTGTTCCAGTATGAAGTGTAAAACATCAACTCTGAGAGAATTCCACACGCTCTGATGTCTCTTTTTATTCTCTTTGATTTTATGAAGGAACTGGTGGGGGACGAAGTACTCACACTGGGCTGCTTTACTGCTGTTTGCTGGATTTTCCCCTGTGGTTCCTCATCCACTCTTCATGCTCATCCAGGGAGAGATTTTCTTTTCTTGATCAAAACAGGATTTAACCCAGAAGGATTGGAAGACCCACACTAGAGGATGATACAGCTCAGACTTAAAGGTAAGCTATTTAGTGGGTTAATAAGTTGGTATTTCAGTAAGATCCAAATAATTTGTCATGAGTGATCAAGTTTAATCCCAGTATATACAGTACTGGGTACACTTACCAGCCATACACTACACATGTATATTGGAGACTTGCTGCCTTAGGTATTTGTAGAAGACAATTCAATGTGAGG